TACTCTTTTACAGGTTTATGCATCATTAATAAATAATAGAAACTTTAACATGCCTAAGTTTAACATTGCCAATATGAGCTGCACCCTTAACAATCACCCTTCGTTGGATGAATTGAAAAATAAAAAAAAATCAGAAAAAAAATTCTTAAAAATAATAAAAAATTCCATTAGAAATTTCTCCTACTAGTTTTCTCTCCTCTCTATTTTTTTCCTCATTTTTCCCTCCATCTAAACCAAACCCTACCGACAATTCAAGCAGTTTACATTTTGTGGAAGACACCCCAACAAGAGCAATTTTATTGCAGGCTTCTTGTTCTGAAGCCTGGTTTTCATGTCCAGCTATTGTTTTCTCAATAAAAAGAAGTTATATTCACGATTTTTACCCTTTTAGTATATCATCCTTTCAAAATGGATGGCAAAATTCAGCTTCAAGCTCATAATCAGGTTTGGCTTATTCGTTAAAAAAGCCAGAAATCCAGCGATGTAATGAGTTCGAGCTTAGCTTATTGTAATTCTTGGCAAGTAGCAATAACAGTAATACATACAAATGCACCAGTAAAACTGTGCAACTCCAAAGAGACATGCAGGGAATTGACACTTCACTTTCATAGTTATTCTAACCAACTTCACAGCACAGAAAGAACATTTCGTGCAGGGCAATCAAAAGTTCCTACTAAACCATAATAGGGATATAAGTGAGCGAATGGTGCTGAAAATCAGTACATAGAAGGAAAAGAAGGCATATATAGATAATAGAAGGCTTAAGATAGGAGAAATTCAAATTTTTTTACAAAACTGATCTAATATATCAGTCAACAAACTTCAACCTCCTGTCCTCATTACATCAGAAAATTCAAAGTAGTATCTAGCTGCCTATTTTGGGTCAGCTGTAACCAAATGATATGCTATAACCAATGCAAAAATGGAAATGCCAATGTAGTTGGCAATAATTCCCAGGCTTGATCATCAATCATCTCTTACGTCCTGGAGAATATAAAAATAGTTAATTTGAGAGAATTGATCATCGGGATAAGTAGCATGAATAAACACAAATAATAGCATATTTTCAAGTATCATGATGTCAGTTTCAATTCTCGCTACATAAAAGTTGCCCAATATAAACAGGATACCCCCGAGTCAAGAAATTATACATCAAATATCGAAGTCTAAAAGGGATAGAGTAATTTTTCCTTTGAATGGACCACACGCCAAAAGTACTGCAACGCATGGCAATACAAGGTAATCCAAAATTAGGGCTTCAAAACAGTAATATATAACTAGATATAATTTTCTAACGCAATTCACAGGAGAGATAATAACATAAAAGCTTCTCAAAATATTATTCTCATCTTTCTAACATTTAAATCCTATTAAAATATGTCAACAAATATTAAAAACCAAAAATAAATTTGCATGGAAGCAGAACCCGAAAAGAACCGTAAATTTGAGAATAGTGCGACTCAGCAGATTTTATATTTTTATACTGATGAATGCAGGATGCAGAAACAGAGTATCAAGGCGGGGAAAAGGCAAAATTAGGGAGAGCGGAACAACAAAAACAAGTCTCATTCCACTAAGTAGGGTCGACTACATGAATTGTACAACATCATTGTAATTTAATCATATACCAAGCCTTTAGCAATGGTGTTAACTAAGAGATTTCGGTCAATAACTTTCAAAGTGTTCTCTTTGACCTTCTTTTACCTCTGTTAACAAGGCTCAAAGTTATCCGTTCTACTTTTCTCACTTGATATCTCCTGCGATCTTCTTTGTATATTTCCAAATCATCTCAAATGATTTTCTTCCATTTTCTTCTCAATAAGTGCTATGCCCACTTTTTCACATATGTGCTCATTTCGGATTGTATCTTTACGTATATATCCATACATCTATCTCAATATTCTCATCTCTATTACTTCAACTTTATGCTCTTTGCTATCCCATTAAAGTATAACATTCACTACAATATAACATAGCTGGTCTTATAGCAGTTTGATAAAACTTTCCTTTAAGTTTATTAAATACCTTGTAATCATAAATAAAGATAGGAAATTCCAAAGAAAGGGGTAGGGAAAAAATAATAAACTTGAACTGCATACTGATCATTAGTGAATCCAACTTATATGCAACTCCTAAGCTACTGAAAACCTAAAATCATCAAAAATGACCTAAGGCTGCTTGATTCAATAGAGAGGAGAGGAATTTTAGTGTTTCCCTTGTTTGGTTTAAGAGAAGAGTGATTTTTCCCCTCTATACTAATTTTAAATATATTTATATATATATAATTATAATTATAGTATATAAGTATGAATGTTTAATAAAACACACACACACACACACACAGCACTTTCATTCTCCAAACAGTCTAGGTGATAAAAGAGATGCATTCTCCTATGCCTAAGAGCAGAGAGAGACCATGGCATGCTAAGAGAGTTAGATAGAGAAAAATGTAGGAATTTTTTCTTTTTGTTATATGTAGGTAGGAATTTTCAGAAAATCACAATGAAGGGATATCTTAGTCACACTACAACAAAAATATACCCTCCCCCTCCAAATCCCCTCAATTTGGAGGGGGAAGTTTAGGAGGGGAGGGGTGGGGAATTTAAACATTTCCCTCCCCTCCTCCAAATTTTTATCACCCAAACAGGGAGGGGAGCAAAATCCTTCCCCTCCCCTCCATTTCGGTCAAACCGAAACACTAGGTAAGAATTGAACATTATTGATACAAATATTATATTATTTTCCCATGATCCAAATATTTCTTTTCATATGTCCCATCTTTCCATTCCTTTCTCTATCAGAAACTAATTAAATGAATTTCAACCATCAACTTGACCATAAGGATACAAAATACAAAATACAAAATGCAAAAAAAAAAAAAAAAAAAAACAGCGATAGAAGGAAAAGGAAGTTATAGACTGGACCTACTAGCCCACACAAAACTCTTTGATTCATGAGAATAATGGTCAATGAAACCATGACACTACATCAGGAACAATTCAAAAAAGTAACTTCAGAAACCTTGTATACCATGATTGGTGACACTAATGAGCTTGCAACTAGATTTCCCAATAATTAATTCATGAATCTTCTACTTCCACTTTCCAGTTAGGTTAGGTGCCTTCTTCCATAAATATTGACAGCCTCTAAATTTTTTATACTATCAAATGAAGAATACTTGTCTACATCAGTTAAACAGATTAATACTCATCAGTTGCTTTCTAGTGAGAGTAAATTAATAGGCCATGCACGTCATACCAGATAAAATATAACCATGTATGCAAACAGCAAGGAACTTCTGTGGTAACACTTCATATCATACAATGTCGATCTCATACAAACAGAACTTTTAAAAGACGGAGAAACTGAACAACAAATTTAAAAATTTCCCAAGTGTAAGGATCATGTTCGTCAGAATGTATAAACAAAACAACTATTTGACCTCCTTCCAAACCAATCATGATTAAAACCCCAGAAATTGTTTGTTAAAATGCCCAAAATTCTTCATGGAAACAGATTACGAAGATCAGGGGCCGCAAGGATGAAAGTGAATAATAATGTGAGGAGAATCGTTGAAGATGTCACCTTTTGCCGTTGAACAGATTTCTTCTGTGAGATCTTCTGGATTTTCTGCTTTTGGATTTTCAGATCTTCAGCGTTTATATAGGATATCATTATCAACCAATCACTTACGAGTTACCACTACAGCGGCCAGTAAAACGTCGTCGTTAGATATGACGGACTTATTTGGTTTTGTACTATTTTTTATTTTTAAAAATTAGTTTACACGACTCATTGGTTTTGTACTATTTTTTATTTTTAAAAAAATTTGTAAACTAATTTTAAAAAAATTATTTTTAAAAAATAATATAATTATGATAATTTGAAAATAATTTAGAATTAAAAAATGATGTGATGATCGCCCAGTAATTAATAATGATTGCCTATGATAATAATATTCATAATTAAAAGTAATTTATAATAATTAAATGTAGTATACTTTATAAATAAAAAGGAAAAATAAAATAGTTCTAAAATGTTTTTATTTTTATTTTTTTAAAAAGAATGATTTTGAAAACATTTATATTCAAATTATTTACCAAGGCAATTTTTTTTTAAAAGTAATAATCGTTTTTGAAAACACAAGTTAAACCAGCCCCCTTGGTTTGCTTTGTTTGGACCGATGAAGAGTAAATGCAAAATTAAAGTCAAAATAGTAATTACTTGAAAAATTAAATATACATCCTAATATTAATATTTTTATATAATTATCTGATAATTCTTCTGAGCTAATCATACCATAGCCTCATATTAATTAATCCTTGACTTTTGGATTCCAAAGTTTATAGATGGCATGCCAGTGGAATCCATTGTCACATGACAAAGTCTAACACAAGAATGACCGATCTGAAGATTTTTGAGTAAAGATATCCAATAATCCGCACAAGTTTAATTCAGTAAAGATTCATTGTTTAAATAAGTCACCTTACTATTTTAATTTTTTTTAGAGAAAGAAAAACATTAATAATAATACAATTTAATTATTTTTAGTATTTTAGAGAAATTTTTATATTCTTTTTTCTCAAAAAGGAAAAAAATCAGTTGAGAAAAAATCATGTTAGAGCTCATGACTGATGAATAAAAATTTATAAAATTAGTTTTTCACAAAAATGCAAAAGGGAAAAAAAAAAAACCCAATCTAATGAAATACTGAAAAAGACTGCACCACTGGTTAATTCTTTTAAAAATATCACATCATATCATAATAACAAATTAAAAAATGACAAAACAACTATATATAAAAAACGTCCTTATTGATTTTTTTAAAAAAAAGAATTCTGTCCAGGTGTCCATATTAGAATCATCTGGTATTTGCTTTCTCTTCTACTTTTCCATGTCCACCGTCTCAGCTGATGTTGACCTAAGCACCTTTTACTGTATCAGCATGCAAATATCACCATAAAAAGGACGGCAAGAACTAAAAGAAAGAGGATTGGAAAAAAAAAAAAAAAAAGGATCCTTTTTATTTATTTATAAGCCTTGTCACATCATTTTTGCACCATACAGAACACAGGAAGACAATCCATAATTGATTGAATTGATCAACGTCAACTACATCCACATTACACTCCAAATTTTTCCTCACCCACAACTTCAAATTCAAATTCAAACCTAGAAACATATGCAAACAAACACAGAACAACATCAACAGCCCACCATGTAAATACTGCAAAAATTCATATGATCGGAGAAACCCATTTTGCAGGTTAATTAATAATAATACTAATTAAACCCCATTCATATAATCTGTGATATGTTATGTCCTGTGTTTCTGATATGTTATCTGAGTCTCTCGATTAATCTGTCAACCCCACCATTGATGGACTGCAACTCCTTCATCTCTGAGTCTTCCATACAAAGCTAAGCATTCCCAATAAGCTCTGTGATTATTCCTCTTCTTCCCAGATTTCCACCATTCATTCTTGCACTCTAGGAACAGTTCATCCACAATGCAGATTGTTCTCTTCTTTATCATCTCCTCCACTACCTCTGCTTCTGCCTTCATCACCACAAAGTCTTCTTCCTTCACATGATTAGCTAACCAAGAAAACACATCTGTTTGGGGAACAGACTGGTCTTTCGGTTCAATTTCGAGACTGTGAATCTCGAAATGCTTGCTCTTTGGGTAGTTCTTTTTGAACCATTCAATCGCGCCTTTGTTTTCTTCAGGCAAACCTATACCGATGAAGACTCTTCGCTTGTATCCTTCAAGAGAGTTACCCATCAAGTTGGGTAGGTACTTGATTTTCTTCAAGTACTTGTTGGATTTCACTAGAGACTTTTTTGGTGGCTCAAGAAAGACATCTTCAAGACCATTTAGAACCACCTTCTTGGCTTCTATTTCCAATTGGCAAAGCTTTCTCTTTGATGAAGTTTCAGGGCCAGTTTTCTTCAGTGCAACTATGATAGAACTGTAGGTATGGAGATACACAACTCTGTAATTTGGTTTCTCTTTGAAAGCATTTGATGGGTTAGTGCCTAATGGAAGAGCCACAATGCCATCAGATTTCAGAATGCGATCAATAAATGCAGCATCTTCAGAAGCAGAACTGAACACAAAGTCAAATGACTCATTAGGGATTGAGATTTTTCTCTCCAAATCAGGGCCCAGAAACACTTCAATTTCATTGTTGAATGGAACAACATCCCGAAATCCATTTGGAGGGGTTATAACAAGAGCCTTATCGTCCTTTCTGAGAAGGCCTTCATCAGCCAAATCATGGAGAAGGAAGTTCAGAAGCACACCATTGATTAAAGGAGGCTGAGAATCAAATTTAGGATGAACTGCATGTGACAAACCTGATGAAGAAGACAATCCCTTGAGAATGGAACCCAAGAAAGGCAACGTGACAAGAGCCATAGCCAAAAACAGTGAACGAGACATAATACGCAAGATCTGTACATCAGGAATCTTTAGTACTAAAACAGTATCAGGATTCAAAGGAGTTCTTGGTCTACCATGAAAGCACTTGATCTTGCTCCCATTTTTGCGTCGATTATACCCATAAACCATCTCCATTTCTTTCATGCGACGATTAATTCCTAACCCACAGAGCTAAACCCCTTTACAAGAATTGCAAGTACGGGTGTACAAGAAGTTCAAGATTGGGTCAATTCGCAGCAAAAGAGAAGACCCAGATGCAGAAATCGAAGAAATCACAACGACGAACGGGAAAAAAAAAAAACAAAACTAAGCTTACGATTCCACAAAAATCTGGAACCTTTTCTTCTAGCGAGTGCAAAATCTGGAGGCTGTGTGGTTCCCACCCACGAGTGCGACTCTCCTGCTTTGCATTCTACAACATAGGAACATCAATTGCATAACCCTCTCGACCTCCATTAACCCTCCAATCCAGATGAGGTTGGTGGGATTCCAAGCTTGCCACAAACCATAGTGGCCGAAGAAGAAGACGTACGATTCTGTGAGCGTTTGATTGTAAAGTATTGTGATGGAGACATGGAGAGTGAGAAATGTGAGGGGAAATTTACAGAGAGAGGAAAGCACGAAACGGATTCGAAAGGAACGAACTTGTGAGGTAGAGGAGTGTGGTGGTCTGCAAAGAAACCATTTGCTTAATTTGGCCATTAATTAATGATTAATTACGTGTAAGATATATATTTGGGTTTTATATTGAGGCCATTAATGAGGACATTTAAGATTTTAACTGCTTTTCACTCGGCAAGCAGCGAGTATTTTCCGTGTTTTTCCCTCCCAGGTAAAAAAAAAAAAAAACAAGAAGAAGCTCTTAAGTATAATTTATAAAAAAATGATAATAAAATCTCAAAAACTAAATTAATGATAGTTAGATATTGATAATTGTTTTCTTAAAATGAGTTATAAATACTAATTTAAATAATTCTAAACAGAAATCATCATTTTTTCTTGACTGTTTTTATTGTCAATATATAAAAAAAAAAAGGCATTTCAGAATCTTCTTATGATTAATTGAAAGATAAGTTGGAATAAAATAAAATTAAGAGACAAAATTCAAAAATAAATTCACAAGGTTAAATTATTGGGCCAAATAGAATAGCATAATAATGAGTGGATAAGATCATTATTCATGTCTCTTATGATTCAGGTCAAGAAAAAATGTCTCTTGTGATCTGGGGTGAGGCTTCTGTTTTGGTATTATGTTGCTTTCATCATAATTATTCCGACCATAACTATTCAAAACCGTGCTCATGCTTCATAATAATTCTCAAGCTTTGATTTATCCCCAGGAGTCAGTACAATTTGTTCTTAACCTAACTATTCTACTCTTAAATTTCCATTTTGGTGGCTTTGACTCGATTCAGCTTAGTTTTAGTTAATAACTATTTTATCAATATTTTTTTAAAAATAAAATATTTTATGTTGATTTATATAAGATTTTATTCATCTTACCAAAAAAAAAAATCCAAACTAGCCCAAGAAACCAACTTGGCCTAGCTTGATACTAAATAAACAGGCTGTAGAATCCATTACTTGCACCAAATGAACCTTAACATTTAATAAATACTTAAAGTCAAAATATATTAACTTTGTAACACCAAATGAGCCATTACGTTAGAGAGATAAATTTATTAATGTCAATATCATTCAAGTTTATTGATACAAAAAGTTTATTCATTAATACAATAAACCAATGTTGGGGGTTTTAAGTGTTATAAAGGACTCAACCTCTTTAAAACAAGAATTAAAATTTAAACCTTGCGGATAGCGGGAAAAAAAACTACATTAGGAGGGCTCTCTTACCATAATTGAGGTTCAAACCACCTCAAATTTGAATTAGTAAAATAATATTGGATAAAGGAATAACCTAGTAGTCAGCCATGGGCACCCAGTATCCTAAAGTAATAAAAAGATAAAATACCGATAACGTTATATGAATAGATGTAAAAGTAACCAGATTGTTAACTTTGATCGTTAAATGCTGGCTGTGCATGTCATGTATTAGTTTTTGCTAACATGGATTAAAAAAGGAGTAAAAATATCCATGAAGTTGTTGGCCATGGGTATAAATACTCATAACGTTACCAGAGTTGATGCAAAAGTAATCAATCCATCCAATCCCTTAAATGTTGACCGTTTAGCTGACACCTAATCAAAAGTTGATTATTTTTTCACTGATATAGACAAAAAATATTCTAAGATAAAATTTTTTACAGATGTTGATCGATCATTGTATGAGTACCTATAATGTTACTTTAGTAGGTGCAATAGTGATCAATCCGTCAAAATAAATGCCATATGATTTCTTTTCATTACCACGTATCTCGACCCCTTCCTTTCTCCCTCTCCACACATTTTTTTTGTTTGCAAAACCTGAGATTTACCATAGTAAGATAGGTTATTTAAAATCAAAAATTAAGACTGAGCACATATAACTTAAGAACATTGTCACAACTTTAAGCAATTACATTCACGATTGATTCAAAATTTTCAAATAATTTTCTCCACTGCTGTAAAGAAATAAGCAATTTAATTTGATATTCAGGAAAATGACATTTTTTCACATGATATTCATACAATAATCGATTAACTTCTAGATAGTTTCATCTAAAAATATTTTTTGTCTACATCAGTGAAAAAAATAGTCAACTTTTGCTTTGGTGTTAGCTAAATGGTTAACATTTAAGAAATTGAATGGATTGGTCACTTTTGTACCATTCTGATAACGTTATGAGTATTTTTGTTCTTGGCCAATGACTTCGTGGGTATTTTTGCTCTTTTTTTGGTCCACATCAACAAAGATTAACACGTGATATGTACAGTCAGCATTTAACGATCAAAATTAACGGTGTTAGGTCAAAGTTAACGGTTTGGTTACTTTTGCACCAATCCATGTAACATTATAGGTATTTTTATCTTTTTTATCACTTTAGAATATTGGGTGCTCGTGGCTGACTACTTTGTAGGTATTTTTGCCCCTTTATTCAATAATATTTACTTATGAATGATTTGTTTAAAGAATGGAGAAAAGAAAAGGAGGAGTGAATCTTAACACACACACTCTCTCCCTCTCTCTCTCTATTTTAGGAGATACTCTTTCTTATCTTTATTATAAAAAAAAAATTTATTATTTCACGCATTTTAAAAAAAGCTTTTTTCTTAATATTATAAAAAATTGATATGTACTTTTATTTTTACCTTTAATTTTAAACAATGATACAACTATATTAAATACCTTCACATCAATTAAAAAAGGATAAAATTAAAAATAAAAGTTTAATTATTATAAATATCCTATATTTAAATTTAAAATTACTTATAAAAAATGTCTTATAAATAAGACCGAAGCGAGTAAATTATTTTAAAGCTTTAGGGTTACAAGCACTCTCACTCTTTTTAACATTGAGCTCCACATCTATCTTTATTTTTTTTTAGCATAATGAATCGCATTGAGGTAAAATGAGAGCACTTTGAGGTTAAAAATAAATATGACTCTCGAGCTCAAGTTCACTTTGATTTGGAAAAATAAATATACTCTTCAGCTTAAGTTCACTTTGATTTGGACTATTTTGGTACTTGTTTGGTGCATCCATCACATTAGGTTGATTGAGTAGTTGGTAAGCGTTGGAAGATGATGTTAAAGTGAAACGTCGTTGCTCCAGCCTCCATATATATTTGATACATGGACAAAAAAATTTTTTACAAAAAGAAACAAAATTGTATCTAAAGGAAAATGCAATAAGTGAATTTTTCATTTGTTTTTCAGCAAACACCTTTGCAACTGCCAAACCTGATATTATTCTTATATATAGTTTTATTGTGTTTTATTATTTATCTCTATAATTTTTTTTTAATGTTCTAGGTTCTTTTAGTTCATCAATGTGTGAATTAATTTTAAGGCCTAACGCAAAATTATTTAAAAATGCCTAATATATTATCATTTATCTCTCCTCCTGTCACTTTTCTAATTTTTTAAGTTACAGAATTATTTAGTAAAATTTTATAATCAAGTACTTCCTTCGTTCAAAAATATAAGGTATTTTTAATTTTTTAAGTATCGTTATTGTATTTTTTTAAAAAGTATTTCTATTAATAATGACTTTATATTTATTGTAGGGTGTTTAATAAGGGTAAATATAAAAAAAAATAGGGTTAGTTTGAAAGTAGATAATTACTTTATTGGGAAGTAACATTCAATTAAAAATGCCTTATATTTTTAAACGGAGAGAGTAATTCTTACATTTTACTTTCAATAGACAATGTAGCTAATCTATTTAATTTATTTTTTAATTAACATGGTTGTTAAATAAGAATTAAGCAGTTCAAATTTCAAAAATAGTAGTAATTGTTACTATTATTGCCAATATTATTCTGTTAGAAATATATGTATTTACAAAGAGTCCAATTTTTTTAATATAGTTCAATATTTTAATTAGAGTGTGAATTTTTTTTTGTTAACATTTCTCTCAATTCAATTCTGAAAATAAAATCAAGACCATCAATATCAAAATTATCATTTAAATTTAGGAATTTTTCAAGACTAATGCTAAAAAAAAAGTTCTATTCATCCTCATTTAAAGCTATAAATTATTAGTGAAAAAATACTAGTAACATTAATATTTAATGAAAAAAATAATAACTAATTATATAAGTCATAAACAAATATTTTTGAAGCCTAGTGGCTTTACTGGCCTAACCCTCTGTACAACCTTGTTTTAGATATACAAGGGAAGTCCCTTTGCTTGTAAATATGTGCAGAGAGGTGTGACTAACAATTGTGTTAAATTATATGACAAACACTAACAATATTAATGAGGATGCTGACATATTTAAAACACAATAAGTTTGTAATTTAAGTTAGCAAAAGGTAAAAAAGAGATTATTGTTTTCTGACAAAAACTCTTCTAGCAATAGTACTTGTTAGCATTGAAAAGTGATTTCTAATTATTGTAGATCAAGCATTTCACTTTATGTAATAAAGAAATTAGCTTTTCTCCTTTGAGAGAAATCTCCTCTGTCTCTTCTTTGAGGTAGAGGGAAATTTGGATCATCCAAATGTTCAAATTTAATTTTTTTATTTTTTATTTTTTATTTAAAATAAAAATATATAAAATTTAAAAAAAATTTTAATAAATATACTTTATCAATCTGACAGTTCATTTTTAATATAGATGGTCTAAATTTAATATTAAAATTTTTTTAATAATTTATTGTTCTGTTCAAAATATATTTACACTGTCCAGAATATATCTAAAAATTAATTTAAATTTTTTATATTAAATTTAAATCATCTATATTAAATCTGGTCTTTTAAATTAATAAGTATATTTATTAAATTTTTTTCAATTTTTATATCTTTTTATTTTAAAAATATAATAAAAAATAAAATAAAAATATTAAATCTAGATGGTCCGAATTTTCTCTGCCTCAAAGGAGAGGTAGAGGAGGTTTCTCTCAAAAGAGAGAAGCCGAGTCTTATAATAAAGGCTCTAATTTAACATCTTTAGCATTGCATCATCATCGGTATGGACATATTTAAAAATAAAGAGACTAATGTTACAAATGAAAAAAAATTATAAGGATCTATAACATTAAAAAAGATATATATAAACCAATAACAAA